ACAAGTGAAATAAGGCAAAGATCCGCTTTTCGGCGATTTTCGCTTTACGGCGGGGGTCTGGTCCCTAACCCGCCGTATAAGCGGTGCCCTACTGTAATGTAAGAGTACAGTTGGTTTCATAATTCCTATCATTCATAATTTCCTTGTGTTTGTCCATGCATAGCTTTACTGTATCTTCAGTTAATCACAACTATTTGTGAGTGATATTATTATTTTTTATTATTACTGACTCCAAATGGGTTTATACCAGGTGGCAGTGGTGCTACAAAAAGACACAACCACAAAACAACACACATCACACAAAATACCACACCTCACTCAAAATAAAACAGCTCATAAAATTACAAACTCATAAGGCACTCACATTACACAAAATAAAAACACAAGTATTTAAACACAACAGATAACCTAAAGTAGATTACTTAAAAATTAATACCAACTAGACATAAGACAGTAACAGTAATGAATTACATATCGTCATGACTGATGCACTCACATTTCATCAGGACCTTCTCTTCACTTCACTATACTTATGAAACCTTCCCACCCTCACCCCAATTTACCCCCTTTCACTGCACCCACCCATGTATTCCCTTCACTTCACCTCATTTATCACTTTTCTAACCTTCTTCCTAAAAGTACTTGATTTACAGGAGAGAGTCCCTAAAACATCCGCAGGTAGCTGGTTCCAGAGTTGGATGGTCCTATTTACAAAGGAATATTTTCCGATATCTGTCCTTTGCTTTCTGCTCCTAATTTTCCTAATATGATCGACCCTGCTCTGATAGCATGGCCTTTGTAATCTGTCACCTATAGCCTTCCATGCCCATTCTCCCATATACGCTTTGAAGAGAGCAACTATATGTGCTATCTTTCTACGCTGTGCCAGGGTTTCCCATTTCGAATCTCTCCTATGATATGCAAATTTACATGCTTTCTTTTGCACCCGTTCTAACTCATTTATCTGCCCCTCCCTGTAAGGATCCCAGCACGCCGCCCCATATTCCAGAATCGGACGCACTAGTGATGTGTAGGCTAGACTTTTAGTGTTACTATTTCCCTTTTGAGAACATGCATTGTAAAATGAAGTGCCTTCCAGGCTTTCTTCACCCTATAATTTTCTTGATCAGCCCAGCTTAAATCGCTGCTTAAGAGTATTCCCAAGTATTTACAACGGCTCACTTCTGGAATTACTTGGTCCTGTAATGAATAGTTTAGTGGTTCATTCACCCGGCTTCTTGTGAAACTAACTGCCTTACTTTTACTTGGGTTAATTTCCATAGCATTTTCAACCGCTCACTCCCCCAGACTGTTCAGATCCATCTGCATCTTTTCTATATCTTTACTATTTACAATTTTCCTATATATTATGCAGTCAACTGTGAAGAGTCTAACAGTCGACTGTGTTCCTCCAAATATCATTTACGTACGCAAGGAACAGAAGTGGGCCCAATACACTCCCTTGCGGTACACCTGACATTACTCTGATAATTTCCCTCCTACTCTAACTCTCTGCGTTCGGCCCAAAAGGAATTCCCTTACCTATACAACTACCCTCGAGTCCACGCCCGAGGCCGCAAGTTTCGTAAGCAGCTGATCATGAGGAACTAAATCGAAGGCCTTCAAAAAATCTATTATAATAGCGTCTAACCTGCCTCCATTATCCAGTGTGTCTGCAACGTCCTGGCAAACCGTGATTACTTGACTTTCACATGAATATCCCAGCCTGAAGCCATGTTGACCCTCGAATAACCAATCCTTTTTATCCCAGACTTCCCTCAGGTACAATGCTATAACATGTTCCATTTGTTTAAAGACCACTGAGGTTAAGCTGACCGGTCTGTAATTTGTGACCAATGATCGATCACATCCTTTGTATATAGGAACCACTATGGCTTCTTTCCAGTCCCTTGGTATAGTGGCATTATTAATTGTTACATCCAATAATCGTGCAAGGTATGGAATCATGACTTCCCCACCCAGTTTTATAATTTCACCAGAAATGCTGTCTGGCCATACTGATTTGTTTTTTCCTATCCCTGCTAGCCTTTTCCCAATGATTTTAGTACTAATGGCAAAGGGTTCACCTGAGTTAGCGCACTGTTATCTGCGGGATGATACGCTCGCAGCTGAATATCAAAGAATAATAGGAATTAAGGGAGTTGGCCTTTTCTATCGAATCAGTAATGAGCCGTCCATCACCATCTTTGATCGCCGGAACATTTTCTGTTTCCTTTACATCTTTTTACATATTTGTAGAAATCAGTCCAGCATTTACCTTCATTTCTTAATAATGTCCTTAAAAATGTTTCCTGTTCATTTTGTTTGGCTAATAGCAACTGCTTTGAGAGTCATTCCAGTTCCTCTTGGTACTGTTGCTCTATTTTTCTTCTATTATATGCTTTTCTGACTTTTGACTTTAACCAGTTCACTTCCTTATTGTAGTATTCAGGGTCTGAATTTTTCCTCAGTATTTTATGTGGCACAAAACGTTTGTAATCCTAAAACATTTGTTATATGGTACACCAGGACTAATCTTTCTACCTGAGGTTCACAGCAATTTTCTTCCCATTCCACTTCTAACAATACCCAAAGTTGTCACTGATCCCCTGTACAATGCTGCAGGAGGTAAACAAACTTTCAGGCTGGACAAGGTAAACATCCTGCAATGCATCCCCTCTGGTTGGACTATCTACTACCTGCATATAACCATTTTCCCATAGCAGTCTATTTATGAGTGCCTGATTTCCACGTTTCCATTCCAATCTGCATAGGGCAAGTTCAAATAACCTCCAACAATGCTACGCCTCGTAGAATTTCCTAAATAACAGGTTTGGGCTGTCAATCTTTCTATAACTCGCATGTCCTCGTTCTGAGCTCTGTAGATGCCTGATATCCCATGTAAATTTAGGGTCCCTGCCTTTTGCTTCAACTACTAACATCTCAAAGTCCTCATCCACCCATAGTTCCAAGCAAGCTATGTAATTTTTTTACACAAATGAACACTCCCCCCACCTTGTGTATTCCTGTCTCTCCTAAAGGTTGTGTAATCGTTCCTAACTCAGGCGAACCCTTCGCCATTAGTACTAAAATCATTAGAAAAAGGCTAGCAGGGATGGGAAAAAGCAAATCAGTAGGGCCTGACAGCATTTCTGGGGATATTCTAAAATTGGGTGGGGAAGCCATGATTCCATACCTGGCGCGATTATTGGACGTAACAATTAATAATGCCACTATACCAAGGGACTGGAAAAAAGCCATAGTGGTTCCTATTTACAAAGGAGGTGATCGATCATTGGTCACAAATTACAGACCGGTCAGTTTAACATCGGTGGTCTGCAAACAAATGGAACACGTTATAGCATCGTACCTGAGGAAAAACTGGGAGGAAAAGAATTGGTTATTCGAGGGTCAACATGGGTTCAGGCCGGGATATTCATGTGAAAGTCAAGTAATCACGGTTTGTCAGGACATTGCAGACACACTGGATAACGGAGGAAGGTTAGACGCGATTATAATCGATTTTTCGAAGGCCTTCGATTTAGTTCCTCACGATCGGCTGCTTATGAAAATCGCGGCATCGGGCGTGGACTCGAGGATAGTCGTATGGATAAGAGAATTTCTTTTAGGCCGAACGCAGAGAGTTAGAGTAGGAGGGCAATTATCAGAGGAAGTCAGAGTAACATCAGGAGTACCGCAAGGGAGTGTATTGGGTCCACTTCTATTCCTCGCGTACGTAAATGATATTTGGAGGAACATTGAATCGACTATTAGACTTTTTGCAGATGACTGTATAATATATAGGAAAATTATAAATAGTAAAGATATAGAAAAGATGCAGATGGATCTAAACAGTCTGGGGGAATGGGCGGCTGAATATGTTATGAAAATTAACCCAAGTAAAAGTAAGGCAGTTAGTTTCACGAGAAGTCGGGTGAAGGAACCACTAAACTATTCGTTACGGGACCAAATAATTCCGGAAGTGAGCAGTTGTAAATACTTGGGAATTATCTTAAGCAGCGATTTAAGCTGGGCTGATCAAGTAAATTATACGGTAAAAAAAGCCTGGAAGGCACTTCATTTTACAATGCGTGTTCTCAAAAAGGGGAATAGTAACACTAAAAGTCTAGCCTACACATCACTAGTGCGTCCGATTCTGGAATATGGGGCGGCGTGCTGGGATCCTTACAGGGAGGGGCAGATAAATGCGTTAGAACGGGTGCAAAGGAAAGCATGTAAATTTGCATATCACAGGAGCGATTCGAACTGGGAAACCCTGGCACAGCGTAGAAAGATAGCACGAATATGTGCTCTCTTCAAGGCGTACACGGGAGATCGGGCATGGAAAGCTATAGGTGTCAGATTGCAAAGGCCATACTACCTGAGCAGAGTCGATCATATTCGGAAAGTTAGGAGCAGAAAACAAAGAACAGATATCGGAAAATATTCCTTTGTAAATAGGACCATCCAACTCTGGAACCAGCTACCTGCTGAGGTTTTAGGGACTCTCTCCTGTAAACCAAGTACGTTTAGGAAGAAGGTTAGGAAAGTGATAAATGAGGTGAAGTAAAGGGAATAGATGGGTGGGTGCAGTGAAGGGGGGTAAATTGGGGTGAGGATGGGAAGGCTTCATAAGTGTAGTGAAGTGTAGAGAAGGCCCTGATGAAATGTGAGTGCATCAGTTCATGACGTATGTAATTCATTTCTGTTACTATCTTATGTCTAGTTGAATTTTTAAGTTATGTACTTTAGGTTATACAGTTTTGTAATATTATGAGTTGTTTTATTTTGAGTGTGGTGTGTTGTTTTGTTGTGTCTTATTGTTCTTGTTGTGCCTTATGTTTTTTGTGTCTCATTGTCTTTGTTGTGTCATGTCTTTTTGTCTTACTGTATTGTTGTGTCTCATTGCTTTGTTGTGTCTTATTGTTCTTGTTGTGCCTTATGTTTTTTGTGTCTCATTGTTTTGTTGTCTTATTGTTTTGTTGTGTCTTATGTCTTTTTGTCTTACTGTTTTGTTGTGTCTCATTGTTCTGTTGTTTCTTATTGTTATTGTTTGTGTTGTCTTATGTTTTTTGTGTTATTGTTTTGTTCTGTTTCATTGTTCTCTTGTTTCTTATTGTTTTTGTTGTCTTATGATTTTTGTGTCTTATTGTTTTGTTCTGTCTCATTGTTCTGTTGTTTCTTATTGTTTTTGTTGTCTTATGTTTTGTTGTGTCTTATTGTAGGACCACTGCCACCGGGTAAAAACCCATTTGCAGTCAAATAAATAATAAAAAAATAATAAAAAAAATAAATACTTTGGCATTTCTGTTCTATTTCTAATATCTATTAATCAGACACCAATTTGTCTTTTTAATTTAAAGAGAGACGTGTGACAATGTTCGGCGGTAAAATAAAGGTGCAGACTATACTTTCATAGATGCAGATAAAGTTTACTGATGTTTGGTTGGTCCACTGATTGAGGTTAATTCTTTCTATCAGACTCAACTGATTAGACTCCCCTCTCCCCTTTTTTACCCAAGGACAGAAGCAGATCTAGTATTCTTTGTTCTTCTGGGTTGTGATACTGAGTGAACTCATAGGTCAATACCAATGTTTCAAAGAAACTGCACACATATCCACATGTTTCATTTACCAGTCTATGTAAGCCCAGAGCAGAAAACCTACAATACAGATGGAAAATTACAGAATCCATAGTCATCAGATGTTAACACAAAATATGCTGACCAAAAATATGACTGACATTGTGACAGAATGTTTCATGTTCAAGAGGTCCCTCATCAATATCTTGCCCTGGAGACTGACTCTCCAGACTAATATTTTCCATCACTTTCTTACGTCCCTCCTGGAAAATACTAGGACAGTATCCTAAAATAGGCCAAGACTGCTTTCCAAATCATTAGTAACAATCAGCCTTCTGTTCAGCATTATATATGGAACTGAGACAGTGTTGTTAAAGAAACTATAAGCACAGAACAATACAATAGTTAAGACAACACAGAATATTACTTTTAAACATGTATGTTTCATGGAGTCTTCATTCCTTACTGCACTAGAAAGAGGCAAGAATTAAACACAATTTGTTTCCATATACTTCCACAGTATGAAATCCATCAGGCACATGCATATTTTCCACACTACACATAATTCATGTTAAATCAGTGCCTCGTCATAACAGAAAGGCATGCCATCTGATTGCAGATGAAGAAGAATGTCTCAAGGTATGGAAGGTTGCTCTGAATGTGTTTAATAAGCAGTTATGGACAGCCAACAAGAGGTGGTCTTCGAGTCAGTAGGATGGGAGGGGATAAAAACCCCTAATAAAACATGGTCTCTCACTCAAAGGGAGGAACACAGATTGCAGGTGTTTGAGAATAGGGTGCTGAGGAGGATATTTGGGCCTAGGAGAGAAGACGATGGGACATGGAGAAAACTGCATAATGATGAGCTTAAAAATCTGTACTCCTCCCCCAGTATTGTCAGGGTGATTAAGTTTAGAACAATGAGAAGGGCAGGGCATGTAGCGCGCATGGATGGGACAAGAGGTGTGCACCAGGTATTGGTTGGGAAGCCTGAGGGGAAGAGACCTCTGGGGAGACATAGATGGGAGGATAATGTCAGGCGGGATCTATGGGAGATAGGAGTTGAAGGAGACTGGTTATGTTGGCCCAGGACAGGGTCTGGTGGAGGGCTTTGGTTAATTCAGTGATGAACCTTCGGGTTCGGTGAGCCATCTAGTTAGTTAATCACAATAACTAGCAAGTTATGAAATATAACATTTGGCCTCAGACTCTTGTGAGCATAGTAATAAACCATCAGGTTCCTTAAAAGGACATTTTTGTTAAACTTTGTCAGATGTTATTCTGCACAAGATGCACTAAAATGACTGGAGCAATTATTCATTTAAATGTTGAAAACAATAGTCAAAAATCAAGGTCACACATAACCTATACTGTTTTTTAGATAAAACTGATGATAATAGATGAATTGTAATTTTAATTACCATGCTTTACTGCTGACAACTACAAGCCTTGCATTGACAACTCAGAAACATATTACATACAAGATAAGGTATGTTACATAATCACAGAAAACAGATGTGCCAAAAAAACTTACTACTATTAAAATTAAAGAAATATACACGCAAAATAAACATTTGATCCAATTTTTATCACTGAACTTGTTTTGTTGTTAAAAGAATTACTACTTGCCTTTGTGTACTGCTCAAGCAGTTTTGTGAAATACTGGAAAAGCGAATGCTGAGGTCGAAGAAAATCAAACTGATAGTTGCGCTGTTCCCTGTTCATCAAGTTGGTCAGAAACTGACGCCCATTACGCGCCACAAACTGAGCTGTCAGCTTCACTATGTCCCTGCAGAGACATAAATGTATATGTAAAGCTTTATGCTTTATTCCATTATGTACTTTCTTACCTTGAACACTCTATCATTATAAACACATCAGAGTGCCTGTAATGAAAATACATTCATCATGGAGTAACCAAGTACAACTTCTTCGCATTCAGAAGTTCTTGAGTACTCATCCACAAATATCACCCTACCACTTAATCTTCACTAATACTAAGATCCAAAAACCAAACCCACCCTTGTATCTTACATTGCATCAATGCATCTTCCTGCAAAAATTAAATGTAACATTACAGAAACTATTTTAGATGTAGCACATTACATAACTTTTGTAAATTAGGTATGCATATTGCAAAATGCATTTTTGCATGTGAGGTACCTATTATCTAAATAATGGAAAAGCTTTATTCTACCGGTCAAGCTATTTTCTCTTTGCAGTTTCAATATTTTCTCACCTTGATGGCATGTAAGAACAGATGTACTGGAACAAAATTCAGAGCATACTAAAGATGGTGGATGGAGTAAGTTTGCTCATATATTTTTAAACTGACTTCAATCTAGATGCACATAGATAACTGTGGCAATATTCATAGTTGGTAATTAATTAATAGTGTTAATATTATTAGTAAGAATATTTTAGTTGTTTTAAAATATTTTAGACAGGATAATTTTCAACAACTGAGATAAGTTGGTGACTGTAATCAGTACAAAATGTTTTCTGCATAGTCTCCAGTTTATAATGTTTAAACAATTGAGGTACATGGATTAGTTTAGAGCAGTGTTTCCCATTCACGGTTCCGCAAAACATCAGCAGGGGTTCAGTGAGAAATCGCTGAATAAATAAATAAAAATTTTGAAATACCATGAAACATTGAAATATCCCTCAAAATATCATGGGAAATTTGTCCAGCAATTGGCAATACTGCAGTAATCTCCTGTCTGCTGTCTGTCAAGGAAGAACTGCAATTGTGTATTTCTACCAGCACTGTTCCACTCTTTAATCAAGAAGCATTCTTTACCTTCCCAGCAATAACATCCAGGTTCTTCTATACAGGGCTAGTCTAAATGATGTTTCTGATTTGAAAGACATGCTACTCATGTATAATGAAATTCAGATCCACAAAACTGGTACAGATGGAAAGAGAAACTCTTCAAGTTTTGTTTCAGTACATCACAAGTGTTCAATGTGAGCCCCCTTGGTAAATCAGCACACATACAGCCTGTAGTCGACTTCCTCCCAGACACACTGCAGCATATCATGATTGATTGCTGCAATGGCTGCTGTGATACGCAGTCGCAGATCAAGCAAGGTCTGTGGTAAGGGTGGCACGAAGACTCTATCTTTGATGAACCCCCACAGGAAAAAATCACAGCATGTCAGGTCCGGTGAACGTGGAAATCCAGGACACAAAAGACCCCCTGTCCTCGATGGCAGCCATTTTCTCTCATATCACCCCTGGCAGCGAAGTGTTAGTACGCGGCTGCGAAGTATACCAACATAAACTTGGAGAGTTTCTCTTTCCATCGGTACCAATTTTGTGCATCTGAATTTCATTAAACATGAGTAACATGTGTTTCAAATCAGGAATATCATTTAGACTAGCCCTGTATATAAAAAGGGGTTTAGAACTCACAAAGTTTTTCAGTACTTTGATGTTTGAATGTTAGGAAATGTGGGGTCAGCTGGAAAAATAAACAAACCTGCTTTATGACAACTTTCCAAAACATTTTTTGTTTCCTGAACTCTCACAACCTACACACTTTTTCCATGTGTATTTCAGCACATATCTGCTATTCGTTTGCTTTAATTTGGTATGCTCATGATTGCAATTGTACATAAATAAGAAAATGGAAAAAAAGAGGAAATGTTTTCATCTTCCTGAAAATATAAAATAAGTTTTAAGAAATCTGCAAAGGCGATGTGGGGACCACCTTTTTAAAAACTGTCTTTTCAGATGTAATGTCCCTCAACTGCCACTTTTAAGTTCTCAACAGGCTATATAGTTACACAGACATAAAATTAATTCTAAAGGGTTCTGATGATGCTGTACCGCAATTTGGGCTAGTGAATTTTTGGACTTTGTCCTGATTTCAGGTGCTTATACACATATGATTATTCTGTCTTAGGTTATCCAGTAACAGAGGCTAGCTGTTTCTGACAGACCTAATAGAGTAGGTTCCCCCCAGCCCATCCTCACACCTGAGGATGATGAGAGAGGCACTCTTCAAAACACCAGGTATTTTAAAATACTGGATAACAGAAAAAATCCAAAAATTTACTAGTCAACATAAAACTAAGTTTAAATGTCAACTTACAAATCAAGGGCTGATATAGATGGTGGATCAGCAATAAATTCAAATTCTGCCGGTGGATCCTTAGGAATGAACGGTTGCTCTGACACCTGTTTCAGGAGTTCTTGTTGCTGTTTCTGCTGTGCTGATGACAGAACAGTCTTCAGCTGTTGTACTGGGGCCCCTCCAGCACTTGGCTCCTGTCCTGCTTATAAAACAGTTTATTCAATACCATATTTAAATATATATACATCTAACTGATATTTCTTCTAGAATTTTCTGGATGTTTTTATGGAAATATATCATAACTTCACATATTTTGTTCCCAGAATTGATGTAATTTAAAAATAAGCAACAGCATACCATGTGCTTCATGACAACAATAATAAAAGTTGGAACTTTTCTAAGAACCTGAATCACATTCAGTTAACATCCTGCAACCAGAATAAGTGAATCAACAAGCAGCTCTGTGAGTGAAATCACTGTTGGAAAGACATTCTGGATTTGTCCAATACAATATTAAGTTGTTTTAAAACAACTTCTGGCTCTTTCACAGGGTATGAATTTGTGTGGAACTGTATAACTAGAATGTGACTCCCAACATGTATAATATGCACTTTGGCATGGCACAACACAATACCAAGAAGTGTACATGCAAAGTAGTGAACCACGTAGCTTATGCACAGAATTTAAATGTATTTTATAAAACATCGCAATGAAATATGATATAAAAATGCCTGTACTAAACAACTGAAGCACAAAACATGTCTTGTTTACAAGTTACTTGATGTGGAAACATTAAATATGACACTGAATAAAAAGTTTTGATAAGTATAGATCACTACTGGCTGTATTACACTGACAAACTCAAACCTGTTACCTTTACAAGGGTAAACCCAATAAATAATTAATGTAAATAAGCACGTGACTCACCTCTCCCCTCACGGAAATCCTTAACTTTATACTGATAATACGCATGGTAAGGGTCACCAAAATTCAAAAAATTGAATTTTGGATTTCCAATTTCATTTTGTCGTATACGAGCTTCAAACTCTGGCCCATTTCTTGCAACAAAACTTGCAGTTTTGTCAACAATATCTGTGGAAAGAACAGTCAAGGAAAGCAGCAAATCTGTAGCTAAAACATAACTGAACAATGAGTGTGAACTAAGAAAAGATGACTCTTCACAGAGAAGTGTAAAACCACAAATAGAGTGTGGTCCAACATAAACTAGAATTACTGTAATTCTTGTCCCAAGGTTTCAGTGGCTGTAGTTAAATAAGTAACTCTGGCTTTTGGGCATCAGCCACACTGAATGCCGAATGTCAAAGATGAACCAATGTTTTGACAAACATTACAGTTTCCATCTTCAAGCTGAACATGAAGTGTGGCATGTTCATAAAAAACTGTTCCCACATGTTCCACTCCTATTGAACAGCTGCCCACCCCTCGACTTTACCAAACAGCACCATCAAATCGCCTCTGGCCCGTCCTATATAAAGCTTCTAGAACCCACCCCATGAAACACTCACTTGAAGATGGCATCTAGAATGTTTAATGAAATGCTAGTTAATACTCAACATTCAACGTGGCTCACACCCAAAAGCCGAAGTTGCTCACAAAAATATTGTTACATAATTGGTGATTAGATAGTGGGTTCTTTATAATAAGATATGGGTTTATTCAGCATTATAACAATTGATTACATCCTTCACAAATACAATCTTGAAATAACTGTCCTTCCATGTATAATGCTGCTGTGTCCTACCTCTAAAATCACTTCTTAAATGCACCCGCAGCTCAAAGTCTTCACTCCATAACTGTGAACCAACAAATATTAACTGTCCCACAACTAACACCTGTTGGTTATTTACAGAAACAGAGAAAGGCTGAGATTCATACACCAGGGTCCAGTAATTGCCTCATATTGCAAAAACATTGCACCACCAGCCTATGCACATGCATGGGCTGGCCACCTGCTATTACAATGGCATTTACATGACATGCTCAAAGAGACAATAATTATGCTGAAGGCATACTTTAAGTCAGTGGCTAAGGTATTCAAACTGTATTGAGTACAGTTATGTTGTATGCTATGCAGCACATCTATAAACATTGTCACAAAGTTATTTTCTTTCAGAAGTCACCACATGCAGTTTGAGACCTGGAGATTTTGAAGCACAGCACAGTTTGCTTAGGGCTGCTTTGGCAGCATGCAATGCTTTTGTGATAACTTAGCCAAACAATGCACAAAAGAAAACAAACAACAACCACAATGTACAAGCATATGAAATGTCACATATATGCTTGAATCATAACAGAAATGACTAAAGTTTAGATAATATATGACATGAGCATTTACAATGATTAAACTCAGTAAAAGTCCAAGAAGATTTTGTAGTTATAGAGATGATAATACCGCTTCAATAGACCAGAATGACTGAGGCTCTATAAATATGAAGACCAGCAGATATAACTGATGTTTTTATGTTTCATAGTATCTGAGGCATGGCAATTAAGTTCCCAGAATCACTTGCCTTGGTTATCAATGTGTCAAGCATGTCTCCTGTCCTGAAAATTGCACTTTATTGGAATCAGAGTAATGAAATTTTTGTGAATAATTTACAATATAGATGCATAAACAGACACTTATCTCAATTATATGCTATGATAAAAAAGATGAAAGGTTAGAAGAAATGTAAGCAAAACGTCTCTTGTGTAGAAATGCCTGAGAATATTTGTTCAGTAGGTGACCTGAGCCTATATTTGTTGATTTCTAAAAACAGGTTATCTGGGAATTTTAAAATCATATGCATTTTTGTTAAAGAAATGAAGTAAATATGCTTATTTCCAATGTGACAATGTATGTAAAGTAAATCAGCTGTTCTCCGAAGAACATCTAACAACCCTATACTCACTTGTTAAATAAGTATAATACACTACAAAAACTTTCAATATTTCCTCTTTAGGGAAAATTCCGAGCCTTTAAAAACATTAAACTGAAAATTAACAATACCATGACTTTACTATTGACCACCACACAGCCCCCTACCTCTGCCACTGATGTATTTATAAATGACCGTAGTAGTGGTAAACAAAAACACGGTCAAAACTTCGTTGTTTTAATGTTCATTCCTTACATTCCTGGAGTGTACATAAAAAATCATGCGCAAAAATACTGGTGGGTACTGGAGCGACAGGTTATGGTGATTGAAATTTGGCGCAAACCGAAAGTCTTGCAGTTTTACTGTTTCATAAATAGCAAAACGTCGTCTTCTGCCAAGTTCGCTAAAGACAAAGAAAATTATGAAGGAATATAACAGTGAAGGTTAAATTACTGGTTGTAGCTATTATACATTCAAAGGATACTTCTCACCTCTGGCGGTGGATAAATAATACCCACAATAGGCTGTGTTGTTGGTGTCTCAGTTTCATGATTTTCAGAAGAATTTACTTCTACTGAAGGCATACTGTTACAAACAATCTAACAGCATTAACCAACACAACTTTCCACCCAGTACAAACTCCAAACAGATACCAACTTAATATTATAAGTTGACAAAGCAAATGGTCTATGACGTCAGATACACTGTTCTGCCATCTAACCGCATCTATCATTAACTACTGTAAGATCTGGTAGTAATAATTAGTATGAAAATGTGATTCGTGCCGTTACATCATCAGGGTGATGAGAGACTCTTTGATGGAAGCAGCAAGGACCTCTGAAACGTCGCTAAACTTGTAACAGACTACACGGCGCAACAACCCAGAATACTGCTCATGATAATAGATACTTAAAGTTAGTTTACTTTGCTTACTTTCACTCTGTATTGTCATATGGATTAATCTTTTGAGGAAATTCAACAGACAGCAATAAAGTTTTTTACATGCAAAAAAAAATAATAATTAGAATAATGGCCGGTGTCAAAAGCAGGGTGTCTTGTATAAAATTATTTCGTAAATTTAATATACTTATACTTGCAAGTGAATTTATACTCTGCTTGCTATCATTTGTGGTGGAAAACATGGATAAATTTAAAAGAAATACAGATGTACATAATTTAAATACAAGACGTAAACATGATCTATATGTTCCAAATGCTAACTTTACTAAATATCAGAAAGGAGTGTACTATACAGGTATCAAGTTGTTTAATAATCTTCCACCAACAATTAAAACTCTAAATTATGATATAAACGTATTCAAGCCTGCATTGAAATTATTTTTCATACTTGTATTGCAGAATCTGAAATTTATGTACATTGATATGTGAAATACGTTCTTGTACTTGTGTTGAAAGTTGTGAAGTGTATGTATATTGTATGAAATGACATGTTTTACATCCTTTGGTTGAGTCCCATCTTCTGACTCACCGCCGTTAAATCCTCAAATCCTACTATATGAGGAGGGTCAAATAAAACCTTGGTGTGTGACATGATAGAGTGGTAGGATATTGATTTTTACAAATGGGTTATGTTGCAAATGCATGTTCAAATCTTTTCTCTAAACGTTTTTGCAAGTACGTACATCTTTATTACATTCCATGGACCCATAAGATAGTCAGATGGCAATACGATGTGGAAAGAGTCATAAAAATACAATACATATTATAAAGTACAAACAAAGGGTTCACCGAAAGTAATAAGTTACACATAAATCTATCCATTACATACAAAAAATAAAATATCATACATACATATATTCATCACCCTGATGACGGAGGCAGTATGACCTCTGAAACGTTGGTAACCATCGACCAGACTACACAGTGCAACAACCCAGAAGACAGAAAGCTTCATTCTCACCACTGTGAAAACCTCAAATCTTACAAAATATTACTTACTTGTAAACAATACAAATTCATTGACAGAGTAAAAGGAGTGTGTGATTAAGTATCTTTTTAATGCTACATTAAATTGTGCCTTTTTATTTACAAGACTTGTGAGACTTGATGGTCTTAAAGTTCACAGTAAAAATATAAACCCTAAAAATTAATTAAACATCTTTCACCAGAACATCAAAGGACTAAGAAACAAAAGCAATGAGTTAAAACATTCTTCAGAAATAGACTGCATAAATCCCCATATATCGTGTCCAAGCGAACATCACATGGTTGAACAGGATTTGCTACACCTCATATTAGATGGTTACTCATTAGGTTCCAGTTTCTGCAGACAAAATCTACTAAAGGAGGAATAAGTATTTTTGTTAAGAAAGATCAATGTTTCAACAAAATTGATACTTCACAACACTAAAGAACAAGATTTAGAAATTTGTGCAATTCAGCTAGAAATGAAAAACATCTAACTGTTGTTCCCCTCTTAAGCAAACACACATACAAAAACATTTCTAGTTATGTATGTTGAATTATAAGCTGTATTTTGTAAGCCAATTAAAATTCTGTCTCTTCAAGAAATGCTGTCCTCTGTCTAGTGCAAATCAAGCTTTTATCTACCTAGGACTTCACTATTTGATCTCCAAACTTATTCTATTCCATACAGACAATGGTGGGCGACTTCCAATTGTGCCATAAAAAAATATTCATGGAGTAACTCAGAATCTGTTAATATTTGCTTTTGGTAATGAGTAGTTCCTCTCGCCATTTTCTCAAGTTAAAATTGTTATGTTTCAGGTGGTTCTGTTTTTAATGGATAATGAAGAATGCCAAGTGTCAGATACTGCACAGATAAGGCAGAATCATTAAGTCTGATGGCAACCCTTTCAAGTGAAAGTGTAAATAAGTACACTTTACCAAGTTGCACGTCTACTATGCAGGCATCTGTTACTGAGGAATAATGTAAATGGCAATAAATACTATTATAAGAATAATAATTTCTCTTCACAATTGATGATATGATCAGGTACATGATATTCTCAACATTAGAATACACAACAAATTCACAAGCAGAAGCAGCTCACATCATAACCTTGTAGCACTGTATGTTTCAAATCATCACTCACACATTATCTTATTTCATCCAGTGTAAGAAAGATATAATCTTCACTATAGAAAACTCAACTCAATAAAGAAATTAAATTAACAGCTTTATTGATGTTCAAGTGACTATGGTGACTAACTGGTACAGACAACATACGTAAGATTTGCATTGGGAACAGTTGGTGGTAGCAGCTGCAACTTTTTAAATAAACCTAAGCAAAAAGAGGCAAAGCTTCAGTAAAACTATGGTTAAAAAAGAGTGCACTTAGCCATTTGTTTTTAAATAAATTTTATTATTAAAGTGTTTGCCAACAGAAGAGAGCCTATAAAAGGCTAACACTAACAAAAATATACAACATTAACTGAATTATATAAAAAAAGAAAATTAAACTAAAAGAAATAATCAATCTAGACACTTACTCAAATAGAACAACATTAATTTCAATGCTAAAGCATATTTACTCCACTTTTGGGCTGGAAATAGTGATTGCTCAAATGCAACTTGTAGTCTCCTGCACTTGACTGGCTGAGTGGATATATTAATGTGGTATTTTAAAAGTCTGTAATCTACAAAGTTGCCTCATGCAACATACCCCGACTACATAAAAGTGAAGGAGGTTTCAATTAAGAGACTAAAATAATGGGACTGTGTACTAAAGAATTTTAAGGCAATGAAAATTGATTTTGTACATGCTGTGTTATCTTTATCTAATTTCTTATCCATATAATTATCAACCAGAAATTAGGTCTTGGGCCTGTTGTGATTCAGAAGCAACCTTCAACTCTGAGACCAAATGACTTGCAGGCCTGCATTCATAAATTCTTTGAGTTATCTTACTTCAGTGCATTGCAGATGATGTGAGAGTCTTCCATGTTAAAATTTTCCATTTAACCCTGCAATGTTTGTTACAGGCCATAAATAAATTACAGAAATTTTATTTCTGCCTTTCTTCAGTTCACTTAGTTCAAGGACACAAAACACTGAAACGTTTTCATTTATTTCATAATAATGAATTTTGTGATCTGAATGGGTAATAATTTATGCACTTATGTTTGTTTCTAATTTGGCCTATGTATAACTAACTCCAATGAACAGTCTCCTTCCTGAGAAACTAATATTAGCTCAGCTGATCAAAAATGCTTTGCTTGTATGAAACCTGAAGATTCTTTATTGCCTCCAAGCAAATTCTCAGATAGTACCTTAAATTATACCAAGAAGGCTTTCTTCCATATCATTTACAATTCACTATCATCTTCTCATTCGACTATAAATGAGGAAACAGTATCACAAATTTCTGGTAGTGAACTGAGAGAATTATTACCAGACAGGAAATAAAGACTGGGTTATGGAGCGTAAGTGTAGTACATAGATTAAATCTATTACTTTTTTATATTAATCACCGAGATCGGTTCACATAGTGTTTCTACAAGTATTAAACATCTATTGGACACAGCTTCACAAGATGCTTCTGGTTACTGTCAGGTGGGGATATAATAAGTACATTTGTATTTTCTCCTTCTCCAAAATGGAAGGAATGTTCTGGAGGAATATTTACGGATTGTTCAAGTCCTATACTAATGTTAAATGTTTGTATCCAGAACACATAGAAAGTGTCGCAGCCACTAGATTCACTGTTCAAGGATGGGGAAGTTGCTTGGTCTCCAAGAAGTCAGCATTTATGTTTCAATTTAGGAAGTTCTGGGATTGAGGCTCAGGCTGGAGAATAGCTGTCAAAGGCAGGCACTCTGACCAGTCTTTGTAACACGTCTCATTATTAGATATGAATTTATTCATATTAAAGTTAATGGTGAAGTTCTTGTTATTTGAGGCATATCTTTTACTTTAGAACTACAGTACTATGACCCCTGACCCCTGTGACCACTGAAGTGGGTCCACGAGTGCTATGCCATTATGAACCAAGACATTATGCTGTTCAAAGTGATTCTATACAGCACATTAACTTCTGATATGAACAATGTTTGTTGCTTCAGTCAGTAAACAGACTGGATGACTAGCAATTTATTCCCAACACAATTGTAGTAAGATATAAGTAAATAAATGCAGTAAAGTGCTCTTGAGCAATCAGCCACATCAAAGTTGGCTTGAACATTATGGAGACCTAGTGACTCCATCATCGGGGTCAAAATAGAGGGCAAGACCACAAGTCACTGATACATATTTTTGTATCTGTCTAGCCTTGCACCGATTCATTTACATCACTTCAATGGGAATCATTTTTAGTCACAGAACACAGTATTGAATTGGACCACTGAATCTAGTTCAAGAATAGTAAGACAATAATGTTTACTTCATTAATTTAGCGCCATATTCCTTTCTTAAATGCATGTTGATTATGTGTCTGAAGAATGAGACTGTCACAGAACCTGTAGGGAATAGATCATGTGTTGACAACAATGAACCTGCTAACACCACGCACTTGCATGAAGCGCACATGGGAAAGAAGAAAAATGCGTTTCAAGATTTAAACAAGCTCTTACGGAAACGGTTGCTTAGTAGGTGTCCGTGAAATTATCAGGATAATATTAAAATGTATTTTAAAGAAACAATGTGTGTGTGTGTGTACTGTATTCTTTTTAGGTTTAAACGTCTTCGAATGTCTGACGAGGGGGCCAACTAATTTAACTGTTTTGGAATCTATTTATCGTGTGTTTAAAGTATTTGAAATAAGTTTTAAAAATCACGGCGTTTAGAATGATAGATCTTCGTTTGTCTACAGGTTAAAATGGAAAGCACCTATTCTCAGTCTAATGGATCTAGCAGAGTACAGCAGATGTCTCCATTTCTTACTTGAAAACGAAACGTTGCTACTTTTAAAAGAAACTTCAACAGCCGATGAATGAAGTCCAAAACAGAGAAAGCAGATATCAGACGTATCTTGTCATGAGAATGATTTTGGTATGACTGATTTCTCTCTACGAACGTGATTCGCATTGCTCATTTATTATGTTTAAGATCAATTTTGTTTTCCGTGTTGATATTGTTATTGTACAAGGGAAATTTTAAGTCAACGTCAGGAAATTTCCGGTGGAACAGCACTGATGCTAACTCTCGTAAGTCTGAATATTTCATTTCCTGTGGTCGTTCGTATTGTATGGGCGAAAACACTGGTTCAACTGTCGAAGACGCATACAGGTGCAGCCTCTTTGTTTTCTTGTACTCGTAAGACGTAACCGTCGGCTGACGGTTCTGTCATTGTCGGCTGAAGCATACGACCCATCAACGACACGACAGTTCAGTCCATGAGCATGCGCACACGTAAGACTAAACAGTCGTTCTTTTGTTCCACATTCTTCTCTCTATGCTCGCCGAGTACAGACGTCAGGAATGTTGCAAGAAGAGAATATCGAAGAATTAATTGAAGAGGTCGAAACACGCCCTACTCTTTATGACAAAAAATTAAAAGATTATGCGAACATCAATGTTAAAAGAGAACTTTGGCAAGAGATTTGTTCAGTTGTGGTACCAGGTTGGAGCGAATTGTCACCCGAAAATAAAACTGAAGCAGGTTAGTTTATTTGTTTTTATTTAATTTCAACAATTACATTTTAACAATTTAAATTTTAACTTATAGTGTAGACCGATTTGCTTGATAATTTTGAAGAGTAATTGCATTTTCATAATATATTAATTATTATTTTATTCCAAAGCAAAAGGTGTTTCATCTTATATATTCTTGGTAAAATGTTTATTGTCTTCACACGACCTGCCTATTACATGTTTTCGTATTGCTTTAGTATTGATCCTTGAGGTGAAATGAAAAACTTCGACAAGAAACTCCTAACATCGGTTCCACAATTTCGTACGTTATTAACAACAGTACTTTCGAGAGGACACTCATATACAGTATCAACAAAACGTATGCCATCCTTACAGCGAACAAAATTATGAAGTACACATCATGCCTTAATTATGCAGTCGCAGAAGCCGATGCTGACATCTAATGGTCTGTGCAAAACCCTCCATTTGTTAGCTAAAATTCCAAAAGTGCACTCCACCATTCGGCGAGCCTTTGTATGTCGATAATTATATATTCTTTTGAGCATTGTCAACTTTTTCTTTCCATATGGCCTCAGGACGTGTTTTGATAACCCAAAAGCTTCGTCCGCCACAACAGAGAACGGCAACGGTCGGTCGTCTTCATAAGCAGGCAAAGGCATTCCAGTCGGGATGTTTAG